CCTCTATGCTTCCTTTCCTGCTTCTTTGGGTTATTTGAATAATTTTTAAAAGTTCATTTTAATTTCTCCATTGGCCTTTTAGGTATGTTTCTTTGGGATTACAATGTCCATACATTTTAGAGTCTACTCAGAGTCAAAATGATGAAATGTAGACATATTTACATAAAATATAGACCCTTTCTGTGCATCATAGTCCCCTGTTATAAACTCCACATGCTAATGTCCATGTGCTAAGGCTGTACTTACTGCTTTAAACACCAAAACCAACCCACTGCCATCGAGTCAGTTCCGACTCACAGTGACCCCCATTGGGTTTCCAAGGTGGTAAATCTTTATGGAAATAGATTGCCCCATCTTCCCTCCGATGAGTGGCTGTGGATTTGAACTGCCAGCCTTCTGGTTAGCAGTGAAATGCCTTAGGCACTGCACCACCAGAGTTCCCTTGCTTTAAACAGTCATATCTATTTTAAAGTGATTATCTTGTCCATATGTTTATGTTTCTGACCCTCCTGATTCCTATCTGAAGAACCGTGTTTCCCTGGTGTGTCCTCTCCCTTCAGGGAGACTTCTGTTAGCATTTTCTGAAGGGCAGGGTTCCCTGATGGCACAGACGTTAACACGTCTGACTACTAACTGACCCACCCAGAGGTGCCTCAGAAGACAGATCTAGAAATCTGCTTCTGAGAGGTCACAGCCTTGAACCCCCAGGGAACTCGGTCCTGTTCCCCGCACATGGGGTCCCCCAGGAAGCTCAGCTCTGCTCCCCACACACGGGGTCCCCAAGGGAGCTTATTTCTGCTCCCCACATACGGGGTCCCCGTGGTTGCTTGGTTCTGTTCCGCACACAGGGTCCCCCAGAGAGCTTGGTTCTCCCTACACACAGGGTCCCCAGGGAGCTCATCTCTGCTCCCCACACACGGGGTCCCCGTGAGTTGGGATCGACTTGGCAACAGCAGGTTTGGTTTTTTATTTAGGTATACTGGCAACTTATCTTTCACTTTTTTGTTACCAGGAAATGTCTATTTCCTTTCATTTTTTTAAATCGTAAAATTCCCCTTATTCTTGCGGTTTCTTCAGATGAGAAGCTGACGACCGTCATCCCCTGCAAGCAATGCATTGCCTCCCTCGGCTGTTTTCAAGGCTCACCTCTGTCTTGGTTCTCTGCCACCTGGTTATAATGTGTCTGGGTCTGGTTTTCTTCATATTCTTTTGGTGTGGGGTTTGCTGAGGTTCTTGAATCTGCATATTTGTATCTTTCGCCAAATTGAGGACATTTTCAGCCATTAGTTTTCCAAGTAATGCTTCTGTTCCTTTCCTTCTGGGAATCCAATTCCATGTATGTTAAACTGTTTGATATTGTCCCGCAGCCTCCTTTTTCTGTTTTCTTTTCCTAATCTTTGTTATTTTTGATGAATCTTAAGGTTCACTGATTTTTCTGTCACCGGCCTGCTGCCTTCACACCCAGCCAGTGTGTTTGTGGTTCCAGACATTATTCTTGTTGGTTGTAGACTTTCCAGTTGGTCTTCTATCTGCTGAGATAGGCTTTCTTCTTAGTCACTGCAAGTACGTTTGCCTCAGTGAGCACAGTTGTAATAGCTGCTTTCAAATCCCTTCAGTGATGGTCTCCATTGATTTTCTTCTTTTGACGATGGATCATGTTTTCTCGTTCATCATATGTTGAGTAATTTTGGATTGTATGCTGGACATTGTGTCTATTTGGTTATGGAGGCAATTGTCACAGTTGGAAATTCTGTCTCTTCATGGCAGCTCAAATTTCAGCTCCAAACATCCCCACAGTATGTGGGGTCCTGACAGCCCACCCTGACGGTCCTGCAGTGTTAGAGTCCTCGGGTCCCCATCATCATGGCCCCATGGTGTTTGGAATCCTCATGTCCCCACCCTCTTGTCCCCATGGTGTTTGGAGGCCTTGTGTCCCTATCATCATGGCCTCGTGGTGTTTGGAGTCCTGATGTCCCCACCCTCTTGTCCCCGTGGTGTTTGGAGTCCTGATGTCCCCACCCTCTTGTCCCCGTGGTGTTTGGAGTCCTTGTGTCCCCACCCTCTTGTCCCCGTGGTGTTTGGAGTCCTTATGTCCCCATGATCATGGCCCATGGTGTGTGGGCCCCTTGTGTCCCTGGCCTTGCATCCCCGTGGTGTGTGGGGCCCTCATGTCTCACTATCATGTCTCCAAGGTGTGTGGGGTCCTTGTGTCCCCACTATCATGTCACCTGTGGCATGTGGGGCCCTGGTGTCCCCACCCTCATGTCTCCATGGTGTGAGGGGTCCTCAGCCCACCCTCACATCCCCGTGACATGTGGGGCCCTCAGCCTATCCTCATGTCCCTGTGACATGTGGGGTCCTTATGTCTCTCCCATTCTCTTGTCCCCATGGTATATGGGGCCCTCATGTCTCCGTGACATGTGGGGCCCTCATGTCCCCACCATCATGTCCCCATGGCTTGAGAGGTTCTCAGCCCACTCTCACTACTAGTGCTGTCAATCTCCATCTCCTGCATTCTGGGGGAGTGTAGAGATAACTCATTAGGGTTTTGATTTGCTCCCCAGTGACCGAGAAGTCCTCTGTCTGTGGCCAGTTGGTTATCCCCTCATTGACGTGCCTGCTCGGGTCACTTGCCTGCTGTTCATTAGGCTGTCTGTTTTGTCTTCTCTTGCTGATTTGCAAGAGTTCCTTGTGTACACAGAACACAGTTCCTGCTTTGGAAATGTATATGGCAGGTACCTTCCCTCCTGTGGCTTTTGCCTTGTCACTCTTCCGGTGCTGTCTTGTGATGAACAGAGCACTTGATTTTAATGTAGACCAGTTTATCAGTTTCTTCCTATATCCTTAGTGCCTTTTGTTTACTGAAGAGGTAGACATATTTTCCTTCCCCCAAATCATGGAGATGTCCTCTTCAAAGCTTTTTTGTTTGTTTACCTTTTTTTTTAACCTTTAGTTAATTTTATAATTCATCTGGGACTGATTTTTGGTTATGATACGAGAGATATTCTAACGTGATCCATAGTGTATTTATTTCACTGGGAAAATCTGTCACCAAAGGCCTCTGTGAAGTTTGAGAAAGCAAACACGTTGAACTAAGTGTGCCTGTCCCCAGCCACACTACTTTCAGTTGCCTCAGATGAATGTAAAAGCTGGACAGTGAAAAAGGAAGAAGAAAGAAGAATTGGCATTTGAACTACAGTCTGGCCAAGAGTACTAAAGAGATGGTGGAAGAAACAGACTGTCTTGGAAGAAACTGACTGTCTTAGAAGAAATGCAGCCAGGACGCCCCTTAGTTGCGAGGACGGAGAGAGGACCTGCTGCCCACTTACTTTGGACACGTTATCAGGAAAGACTGGTTGCTAGAAGTGGATATTTTGGTGAAGTGGCAGGCAGTGAAAATGAGAGAGTCATCCAAGGATGGGCTCACACCACAGCCTCCACATCAGAGATCAGGGAGGTGGCACAGGGCCCGCTGCCGTTTCCTTCTGTCACCCACAGGGTTGCCATGAGTTATGGCAGCTCGGAGGCAACTGGCAATGAGAGAGATTCTGCTGGCCCAGACCCTCACTTAAGACCAGCCTTGGACCTGGACCTCTGTGTACCTTCGCCATGAATCAGGCAGCTCATGAAGGCTGTTTTGCTGAGGAAAGGACTCTAGGCAGCCAGTCTTTCTCTTCCAGCTCTTTGAAGGTGCCGTGCGTTTCCCCTGGCTTTCAGAGTTGCAGAAGGAAGCCATGTGGTGGCCAGTCAGCTGTAACTGAAGTGGAGAGCCAGAGACGCAGCGTAGTGGGCTCACCCTGGACTTCTGCAAGGGGCAGAGCCTCGCCCTCTCAGCCCCAGGCCTGCCGCTGCCCTGTTCTTGTGGAGGAAAGACCATGGGTGCCTCCTACAGAAGGTGGAGAGGCAAAGTCCTTCCAGGAAGGGGATGGCCACCATGGCCCCAGATGGCAGGAGTTAGAGCCCATGCCAGAGGGGCCTGTATGCCACCGCCTCAGAATGCCCCCCTGCACCCAGTTACTGAGGCCTAGGGCAGGAGGTGTGCACGGCAGCAGGGGGCCCAGCCAGGGTTCTGGAGGCCCAGGTACCTTAGTGTCCATGCCACCTCCTTCTGGTAGCCTCCAGCCCAACAACAAAGAAGCCTATAGGTGGACAGTCGACCACTCGGAATGTGGGAAGAGGAGTCCAGCCCTGCAGGCCTCTTGGCCTGTCCTCAGGGGACCCTGTGTGCAGGAGACTGAGGCAGAGGCCTGTGCCAGTGATGCCCTGATGGCTGAGCCGTCTCCAAGGGACCGGGTGCCAGCTGCCTCCCTGCAAGCCGTGGTGTCAGGCTTCTGCAGGTTCCATCAGAGCCGCAGGAGCCCTGTGAGAGGATCACATGGCCCATTCCTGTGGGAGCTCTTTGCCGTGTAGGGCGGGAAGAAAAGTGCCCCACAACCTTATTCTCTCCTAACTTTAGTCGGAATGCTGTTGAAAAAGCTCTCCTGGAATTGGTGGGCCTCCCTGTGCAGCAAGGACCCCCAGCAACGCAGCCACCCCTGCGTCCCCCGCCACCCCAGCCGGGTGGGCCCTGACTCCTCCCTCCTGCTGGCCCACAGCCCATGCCTCTCTAACACAGCCTGGGTGAGAGGCCTCTCTGGATATCTCGAGCACCAGCGCAGAGCAGTGTCAGCCTGGTGGCTCCAGTCTGGACTTGGGGAATTATACCACCCAGTACCTCATGAGCCTTCCTGTCCAACATACCCGACTCTGTCACTCGCTGCCGGGGTCGGCCCCAGGTGACAGGTGTCACCTTTCCCACCTCAGCAGCCTTCATGGGTGCCCACCAACCACTCCCACCCAGGAGCAGGGCGGACACAAGCTCAGGCCAGGTTCATCCCCACTGAAAGGAAATGGAGAGCAGCCTTGTGGTGGAGAGACTGCACGGGCTTGTGGATGGGTCTGGCCGTCCGGGAGATTGGGCTGCCCAGCACAGCACCTGTAATTGGAGGCTATGTTCTCAGGTCCCGTCCTGCTGCTGACCAGTGACAACATAAAACAGCGCCTTGGCTCTGCTGCTCTGGACAGGTGGGCCCCATGGGAAGGGAGCAGGATGCTGCTGTCACCAGATCTGCATGCATGGCTGATGAACAGGGTGGAGATGGGGATACAGTGGGGGACAATAGGGAAAGGAAACGGTGGGTGGCAGGAATACGGTGGAGAATGGAGAAATGGTGGAGGATGGGAGATGAGGGAGGCATGAGTGAGGAGTGCCACCCAGTGCTTGGCAGTGAGCTGTCGCCATGTGTGTGGGGCCATTCCCATGGGAGGGACACAGGAAGGGGACAGAGTAGGTGGCCAGTGTCCAAGCACCACAAGGAAGAAGAGCCTGGCCCCTGATCCCAGAGCCCCCAGCCCCTCAGAGGGACACCGGTCAGCTTGGCCCACTCTCAGGACCCAGCTGTGTGTGGGGCAGTAATGACCGAGGTGCCAGAGAGCCCGCTTCCTACCTGGAGAGCTGTGGCTGACTAACTTCTCGGCCCCTGGGGACCTCCAGCTGCAGGGTACAGTGTACACTGTAGCCACATTCCTTCCCATGGCCTTTGAGAGAGAGAAATCCAGAATCCTGTCCATTTGATTGGTTGTAGACGGGGGAACCTGGCTGTGATAGGTTGGGGGCTTCCATGTTTAGATACTGCTGCCCCTGCTCTCCCCACCACGCAGAACTCCTGTCTACCTTCTCAGTATCTGAAAAATGCTTAAATGGCCATGACTTTTTTTTTTTTGTTTTAAATTCTAAAAGTTACTGTTTGTGTTTTCTTCATGTGAATCTGCTTGTTGGGTTCTCTTGAGTATTTCTGCCTTTGGAAGGTTTAGGCGTATGAAGTGATGGGTAGTTTTGTAGTGAGTGGCTAATGGCGCTAGGGAATTTCCTTTTACTGCTTCCGGGTTATACTCATGATATTTGCTTCCCAAGTTGTGAGTTCTGGAGCTCTGGGGGTGCAGTGCCTAAGGCATGTGACTGCTAACCAGAGGGCTGGTGACTCAAACCCACCAGCCACTCCTCGGAAGGAAGGCTGGGCAATCTACCTCCATAGAGATACTGCCTCGGCAACCCAAGGAGGGGTCGCTATGAGTCAAATTCGACTCGAAGGCAGTGAGTCAGTTTAGTTAAGGGACCTCCAAGAGTGCCCCTGCCAGTCCTGGGCCCCAGCATCCTTCTCATTACCTGGGCAGTCCCCACCCCCTGGCCTCAGCACCAGACTGGCTAAGTCCTGGGTTCTGGGAACTCTGCCACTGGAGGGCACCCCCTGCCTCCCCAGGACCTGCTGAGGGGTAGTGGGCCCTTCTGTGACTTCCCCAGTGTCCACGAGTACCGGCTGTCCAGCTGGCTGGGGCAGCAGGAGGACATCCACCGGATCGTGCTCTACCAAGCAGACAGCACGCTGACTCCCTGGACCCAGCGCTGTGTCCGGCAGGCAGACTGCGTCCTCATCGTGGGCCTAGGTGAACAGGAACCCACTGTGGGCCAGGTAAGGACGGGGACAGGGAGGGCTGGGAAGTGGGCTGGGCTGTGTGGCTGTGAGCCGTTCAGTGGGCAGGGCTAGGGCTAGGGGTGGGGCCTCAGGGGCAGGGCCACAGGGATGGGGCTACAGGAGGTGGGGTCATGGGCAGGGCTAGGGTTGGGTGGGGTCTCAGGGATGAGGCCATAAGGGGTGGGGCCTTGAGCAGGGGTGAGGGGAGCCCCAGGGGTTGGGGCCTTGGGCAGGGGTGGGGTGGGGTGGGGCCACAGGTAGTGGGCTACAGGCGATGGGGCCATGGGCAGGGCTAGGGTGGGGTGGGCCCTCAGGGGCGGGGCTACAGGAGGTGGGACTCCTAACTAGAGCCTTGGGCAGGGATTGGGTGGAGCTCCAGGGGGTGGGGCTACAGGAGGTGGGGCTGTGGCCTGGGGTGGGGGGGGCCAAAGGGGTGGGGCTAGGATTGGGATGGGGCCCCAGGGGCGGGGCTGACAGGTGGCCAGCGATCACCGCCCTCTGCAGAGCCCTCTGCTCTGGCTGTGTGCTGCTTCTCTGGCCTCGTGTTACTCCGCTGGCCTCCGCTCTCTTTCAGCTGGAGCAGATGCTGGAGAACACGGCCGTGCGCGCCCAGAAGCAGCTGGTCCTGCTGCACCGGGAGGAGGGCCCCGAGCCGGCCCACACAGCCGAGTGGCTGAACATGCGCACCTGGTGCTCGGGCCACCTGCACCTCTGCTGCCCACGGCGCGTCTTCTCTCGGAGGAGCATGCCCAAGCTGGTGAGACAGCCCCTCCGGCCCCTGCTCCCATGCAGCTGACAGTTCGCCCCCCCGTCACGCCCTGAGTCCCCCACCTGGGTCGGCCGGGGTCCTCAGGTGGTCAGGGTCAGGCTTCGGGGAAGCAGACCCCAGCCGAGGCCTATCCGCACTCCTGGCGCAGGTGGAGATGTACCAGCGAGTCTTCCAGAGGCCACCCGACCGACACTCGGACTTCTCCCGCCTGGCGCGAGTGCTGACCGGCAACGCCATCGCCTTGGTACTCGGGGGAGGGGGTGCAAGGTGAGTCCCCAGCCTGGATCCCTCAAAGTCCCATCCAGGCCATTGCGCGTGCTCTCTGCCAATCCTGACCGTGTGTGTGTGTGTGTGTGTGTGTGTGTGTGCGCGCGCGCGCGCGTGCCCAGGAGAAGGCGGCCTTCGGTGCCCTGGTGTCCCACAGGGAGAGACCCGGGCCACAGGCTGTTGGCCCCAAAGCTCCCCAGCCCCTGTGCACACATGTGGCTGGGAGCGTGCCTCCAGGCACTGCTGCCGGTTTAGGAGAGCGGATTCCTGCCATTGTCTTTCCTGACACGCGTGGTGGGACGGGTTGGGTTTGCTTACTAGCCATGCTGTGTCGTCTTCTGAAAAGCGTCCGTTCTTATCCCCTACCAGTCTTCCCGCTGGGCTTCAGGTGAGTTTCTTTTCATTTTTAATACCCATTTTATGGATGAATGCTTCTAACCAGGGAGACGTTGCAGTGGCTGCTCCTAGTCCCATGCACCTGCCCACAAGTCAGCATCTGAGCGCCTGGGCTTATGAACACAGAGGGCCTTTCACCCCAGGACCTCCAGTCCTAGTTTGTCATTCAGACACTTGCCAACCTTCTCTTGAGATTGCCTAAAAAAAAGACACTCTGGAACAGAACTGACGGTGGGTGTGAGGAGGGATGTGCCGGGCCAGGTCCTGTGCTGCTGGCTCCTCACCTCCCAGGAGGGGAAAGGGCCCAGGCTGGGATGGGCTGGCAGGAGGCAGCCATGCCAGAGCCCCTTCCACTCAGGTGCAGCTGTGTCAGCTGGTACATGACCCAGACCGGACCCCCAGCTCTCTGTGTTGTCAGCCCTGGCCCTGCCAACAAATGAAGCCCATGGGCTAATGGGATGCCCCTGCCTCAGTAGTTCCAGCTGGCCCAGAGGAACAGAGTCCCTTGGGTGGGCAGGCAGGAGGCCTCTGGGAAGCTGTCTGGGCTCCCACCCATTCTCTGTTTCTCCTTGGCCAGTTCTCACTGTGAAGGCAGTTCTAGCTATGGGGTCAGAGGGACCAAAACGCCTGTGGAAAAGGGCTTTGCCCTGTGTCAGATGAGTGACAGAAATAGCAGCCAGCTCCAGCTGTCGTGTGACTGTGTACAGCAGAAACCTGTCCCACCCATTGCAGCGCATTGAGGCGGGAGTCAGGGCTGTGAATCAGGCGTGCTGGCCTCCGGGAAACCTACTCCTGTCAGTCCTGAATTAGCCTGGGGACCAACAACCCGCCTCCTGCCCAGGGGGTCTCGGCGGCCTGAGTTGCCGCTGTTCTTCCCGAGCTCACTGGTCTAAAGATGGTGGCCCAGAGCTGGAGCAGACGGAGCCAGTGGGGTGAAGAGGTGATTTGATGCCCCAGAGCGTTCCCCCGGCCTGTGTGTTCCAGCAGTGGGTGCTACCCTGTGATATGGGGTGAAGAGGTGATCTGGTGCCCCAGAGCGTTCCC